ATAAATAAATAAAGATTTTTTGGGGGGGTGTTTTGTTTCTGGACTGCACTCTGGTCTGACTGTCCATTTAACAGCGACCACCTGTTTCCTGCCTCCTCTGCTCTCCTCACCTCACGCACTGCATGGAGAGAAATTAATTTGCTGCAGATCTCGGAGGCTTAAACGAGGCAGTGACGCCCGGGCCCCTCCCCTCTGCAAACCGACAAGTAAATCCCCACAATTAGCAGATCCATATTAGCATATTAACCTGTGCTTCCTTCCGAGGCGCATCCTTTATGTAGGTCAGACACCATTTTCTTAATTACTTTTGCTGATGATGGAGGACAAACATCTTCTGGGCCGTTTGTTATGGTTTGCCTTCATTATGCCAGTCGTTATATTTTGGCTGGAAAAGGTGCAGGCCTACACACACACACACACACACACACACACACACACACACACACAGAGGCGGGCTACAGGACAGAGTTAACGGACGCTCATGGCCATATGAGGACGGTGTCTGACCGGGGTTGATTAAAAACCAAAACAGACTCATAAACAAGGTCAACACATGTGCACATAGACTGGAAGCAGACAGTGTTGTGAGTATTCGGATGTGCTTTTTCCTCCAGCTGCTCTATAACTTCAGACCACAGACACTAATGAATAAACAAATCCGTAAACTAACTCCGTCCTGCACAATATGTTTTATATTAGCATGTTAATATGAGGCTTGCATTAGCCTATATAGCCTATAGGCCCATTATAACTCAGCATGGAGCCCCACACCCACTAACTGTACCATCTCTGGCTGTAAGTGTTACAATATGAGACACAATATACTTAAAGAAGCCTTAAAGCCTGTAAGGGGATTACAGTTTACTCTGGTAGCAATAGGCTAAATGACTGCAGGCTATATAATGATCAATTATAAATAAGTTGTGGCCTGTTATAATAAACAATTTAAACCAATCAGGCCACAATGTATTTCTCTTCTTTGCATTATAGGAGCTTTGTGTACAACTGGTGGGTTGGACTGGAGACTGAATTAAAAACAAACTCTTTGAGACTAAAATCTTGAGCTGATCCTTCATGTAATATTAAAAGCGCCAAAAAAAACGGATCATTTCTTTTCTTCTTTGAAAAATCAACATTTTCTATTTACACAGTGAAACTGGTGACTGCAGGTACTGTTTTTCATGTTTATTTTAGAAGGAACTGTGGTCTTTAATTCTCCCTGCCATGACTGTTAAGAGACTGTTTCACTCCTGAATCACAATAGTAAGATTTGCTACATAAGGTACCACAAGTACCACATACGGCACATGCCCAAATGAGCTCGAATCCTAATCTTCCACCTCTCCATGCTGTCTTACTTTCTGACACACAAAAATGACAACAGGGCCCCCCTGCTCTCTGCAGGAGCTGCAGTCCATCCAGAAACCTTGGGGCTGATCTAAATTCTCGCCTCTGGGCTGTACTGCGCGGGGTTTCGGGCCTTTCCCTGCCTCGTCAGGCGGCAGATGGACTGGCTCCTGTCCGGAGATCAGTGCGCATCTGGTGCGGCGCTCCCAGCCCCCGGTAAAGCAGGGCCACTCGCCGGCATTAAGCCCCATTAGGGCCGTCTACCGTGCAACTGGTGCCTCGGGTTGGCGGCGACGGTGGCTCCAAACCCTACATACAGTTCTCAGGCAAACAGCAGCCACCACCAAAACCTCCTGACATAAATAAACTAGATCTGACTCATGCGCTCAGTGATCTGTTAGGACACCGGTCAATGGAGTGTGCACATTTTGGGGTAAACCTTTAAATTCGATCGTTTCTAGGAAAGCTCACTTGAATGCCTTTAATCTCGTTTTAAAACAAATTAGACTGCCGTGTTTCCCATTTTAATGAAGTCTAGCTCTCTTTCACACCTGCAGAACTATATTCTCAGGCAAATCTCAGCCTTTTGATCCAATCTTGATGATGATGTGAGAGGAAACAGGTTAAGCTGCTACTATTCCACTGAAGGCCTATATGTCAGCATGATTTCCTTCCCAGACTTGAAGTCAACCCTACACCCATGTAACCCCCCCGGTGTCATTTAAGTTTGGGTTTCTGCCCTCAGAACATCATTTTGGTAAGTTTTTCTTAATGTTTTTGTCCAAAATACAAACATTTTCACAAAATCCTTATCATATGATCACATTTAGAATCAATTAATGAACCTTAATTCACACCAAAAGCTCTCTCTTGCTCTATCTATCTCTCTTTGCCCGGTGGCCTTCCCATTCATCCCTCCTCCTCCTCCTCCTCCTCCTCCTCCTCCTCCTCCCACCATCTCTCTCTCTCTCTCTCTCTCTGTTTTTAATACCTGGCGTGCGACAACCGGCCTTCACCGGTCTCGTCGTGCAGAGGTTTCACGTCGAGCCCCGAGGCAAAACAATCGGTAACGGTTAATTAAAATATAAAAGGCCTTGAGAACTTTTTAAAGGAGGCTATTTAAGGAGGCCCCTGCACCGCCCGTGTCTCCGCCCGGGCCGTTTTTGTTCATGAGGAGTTTTTTTTTTAGATGTGACTGCAAGACTATGGGCTAAAAAGTCTTGATCAAGAAGAAAATGAAGATCTTGTAGAATATTTAAGCTTGTTTGGGGGCCATTTTTAAAGCTCTGCGACCAGTGATGAAGTGGAAAGTATATTTCCAGTTGGAGTAATTGCACCCTATGAACAAAAGTCAATAATAACTACTATCAAAGGAGAAACCTTCTATAATATATATTCTATAAAATCTAAAAAGGTTATTATAATTAGTAGTAGTATTATTAGTAGTAGTATTATTAGTATTATTATAACAACCGATTAGGACAGAGGGAGACGCATGTAGTAACAGATGGGAGGGGAAATAGTTGCTTAATTAAAGTGCAGAGTCAACCCCGGCGTCCCGGCGTCTGCACGGTCACAGTCTGCACTTTAATAATATCAGGGAGTCGCTTTGGTGACAGTTACAGCTGAGCAAGAAAGAAAAAAAACATCCAAAACAAGACTGATTAGGGCTTCTGGGTTGGAGCCATCTCTCTCTCTCTCTCTCTCTCTCTCTCTCTCTCTCTCTCTCTCTCTTTCTGTGTGGTTTGTTTTGAATGGCAGGAAATCTGACAGACTCTCCTCTCCTCCTTCAGTTTCCTCTCCTCCCCTCTCCTTTATTTCCCTTTGCTCCTCTTCAGGCTGTGACCACAAGCTTTGGGCTTCTGCTTTTTACGTTTTGTATTCCTGTTGCTTCCCGGGTGGCCTAAGGGCAAGGCAGCAATAGACTGTTCATTCTAATATAATAGGCTAGATGCTCACTGTGTGGCTCTGTACACCTGTTACTATTGAGATGCTTTGTTTATTATCCTATAAAACGTCAGCAAAATAATTTATCCGATTACATTTACCTGGTTATATTATTTAATATTAGGTTATATCATTATTTTAAGCCTATGCTTTCAAATAAATAGAAACAAACAAACCCCTCCTCTATCATCTTCCTCTACAACACCACAACGGCTCCGTTCAGCTGGGCAAGACCACCCCGAGGGCGCTTGCTCAGGTGAGTTACAGCACGAGGAGAAAAGCAGAGAGAGAGAGAGAGAGAGAGAGAGAGAGAGGGAGAAGGAGAGGGAAAGAGAGAGAGAGAGAAAGAGAGAGAGAGAGGAAGAGGTCATGAGGCTGACCGACTGACCGAAAAAATAGACCCACTTCTGATCTGCCAGTCCAGATTAGAATTGAATAATAATAATAATAATGATAATGATAATGATAATGATAATGATAATGATAATGATAATAATAGGCCTGATGATAAGAATAGAGCACACATTATTATTATTATAATAATAATAATAATAATAATAATAATAATAATAATAATAATAATAATAATAGGCCTGATGATAAGAATAGAGCACACATTATTATTATTATAATATAATAATAATAATAATAATAATAATAATAATAATAATAATAATAATAATAATAATAATAATAAAGGCAGCACTCGCCATCAACCATTCTTCGATTCAACCATGCACGCGCCTCTGGTCACACATACACACACAATGCGGATTTGAAAAGAGAAAAGGTCTCGTGCTTCTGTCGGTTGTTCACAAAGGCAACACTCATAGCAACCCCCCTCCCTCCCTCCTCCCCCTCTCCACCATAAAGAGAAAAAAAATGTTCATCAAAAGCTGTTTTCCATGAATGAGTAAAAAAAGAAAGAAAGAAATACATGAGCAGCATTTTCGGTTATATTTAACACATTTGCACATATAAATTGTACAATAAAAAGCCATAATAATTACAATTACTGATTTATTTTTTAATCAAGCTATTTTAATTCATAAACCCTCTAAAGGATAATAATATATCGATTCCATTGTGATTGGATCGAATGAATCTCTACTGAAAAATGAGTGCACATGTTGTTTCATTATAATATCCGTATTTAAACACCACAGTATTAAAAAAATGCCTAAAAACAGTAATAATGAAAAGACATCTGAGGCATGCAGAAAACATCGAAAACACCCCGTTTCCAAATAATATACCTCATCGAGGCTGAGTAAATGAATTCCAGGCTCGTCCTAGAAACCAACGAAAATCAATTTTTATTCCGTTGATAATTGTCGAAATTAGCTTTATAATATTTCAAAGCAAAACTTACATTTCTGTTGAAAATCCGCACATTTTTGTGAAACGACTTTAGCCGACGTGTGTATTTAAAATAAAATAAAATAATACCACGACGAAACAGAAGCAGAAGACCTTGTGAAAATACAAACGGGTCAAAAAAGGAAAATGTCCACAAAAAAGCGTAGAAAATGTTGAAAGAAGCACTTGGTTCCTTATTAAGGCGAAGATACAATATTTATTCCTTGTCTCCTGGGATGCTCCGCTCCGTCTATTGTCCTCCCATTCCTCAGTGCTGATGCTTAATTTTCAAAACTTCTATATTACCAAGGGACCTACGACATCAGCCGAGAAATACCCTGCAAGTACAAAATCCGTGAGCCAGCCCCGTCCGTGCAGAGGGGAGACGCTCGCGTTCCGCCAGCTTTCTGCCGTTACCGAGAGCGCGCGAGGGGGGACTTTTCCATTTCTCTCGCTTTTTTTGGAGGATTTTAACGCATTTTTATTATTATTCGTTCGGGGCCAGAGAGCGGAGAAAAAAAAAAAACGGGTTACTTTGGAGAAAGCACAATGTCAGCGACCTTCCCCGGACTTGTCCACGACGCAGAGGTAAGCTAATTTATTTACCTAACGTCCTTTAATTCATGAAATTATAGCCGCTGTGGCAGGAGAATAAATATTGCTTTGTTTAAACTGAGTTATGGAGGCATTTCGAGACTGCGGCTGCTCTCAAGAATTCTCTAACTGGAATATATCCTACTGTATCGCATGGATATATATATTAAAAAAAAAAAACTAACATGCATGGAGGGAGATATGAGTCGTGCATCTCACTGCAGCTGCCGGTAAAAACGGAGCTTTTTATTAGTGTGTGGAAGCAAATGAGGCTCGAGTGTGAGCCGGTAACAGTGTGATTAGAACATTTTAGGGCGGAACACTCCGCTGTGTCTCACTCTGCTTACCTCCCATCCAGAATGAGCGAGGGAGCTGGGACAGTAAATTTGCCGGCAGCCCGGTAATAATAATAATATATAACAGCACGCCTTTTAAAAAAGCTGCAAGGAGAGTGACAGGCATGCCAAAGGGAGGGGAAAAAAATACCGATGGCTCCTGTTGCCGTGCGTTCGTTCCCCTCCCGGGCGTGTGGAAGTGACATCTCCTTCAGGTGGTTTAAAGTGGGAAGAGAAAAAAAAAACCGCTTTGAGTGTGTGAGTTGTGTTTTTGAGTGTGTTTGGGAGGCAGAGAGAGGAGACACCGGCTGATGCTAAATGACACGGCTCATATATTTCCCCGTCTCTTTATTATCTTGTAGATACGTCACGACGGATCAAACAGCTACAGGCTCATGCAGCTCGGTTGCCTGGAGTCCGTGGCCAACTCCTCGGTCGCCTACTCCTCCTCCTCCCCGCTCACCTACCCGGCGCCGGCGGGGACGGAGTTCGCCTCGCCGTATTTCTCGGCCAACCACCAGTACACGCCCCTCCACCACCAGTCCTTCCACTACGAGTTCCAGCACTCCCACCCGGCCGTGGCCCCGGAGGCCTACGGGCTGAACTCGCTGCACTCGGGCCAGTACTACCAGCAGATCCACCACGGAGAGCCCGCCGACTTCATCAACCTGCACAACGCGCGCTCGGCCCTCAAGTCCTCCTGCCTGGACGAGCAGCAGCGGCGCGAGCTCGGCTGCCTCGACGCTTACCGGCGCCATGACCTGTCGCTGATGACGTCACACGGCTCCCAGGCCTACGGCGTCGGTATGCACCACCCGGACCAGAGGCTGCTGCCCGGCGCCGGCCTGGGTCTCCCTACGCCCGCTTCAGACGACCTACAGGTACCGGCGGCCTCCATCACCTCTCTCTCCCCCCGCTAACTCACAGTCTCCCATCACCTCAAGGCCCGAGATCCAACTGTGCCCCTCCCACCTTTGCCACGGCTTCTCATCTGTGGTTTATTAGCACTGCAACATAAGAAATGATAAGATTACAAACCCTAAAAAGCTGCCACAAGACCCAGTATCCCTGCTCCACTGGCCCGTGGACCCCCCTCTCTCCCTCCCCCTTCCCTCCCTCTATTGTACACAGCAATTCCAAAAAATATTGAACAGAAAGACAGCGCCAGATGTCTGTCTGCCTGTTGTCTGTGACACTGACGAGGCTGTGTTACATGTGGCCTGTAGGTTATCCGCAGCCACTGACTCTGTCCTGCTTTGGAGTGAATAATACTGGAGATCATCTTGAGATCATTTTGTTGCCAAACCAAACGTGACTGTACACCAGGCTGAGTAAATGTCAAGTGCACACGGCGCCGTGCCCCTGAAAGGCAGGCCTGTTTTCTAAAGGTTAATTGACTGGCAGTCTATACAACCCTATTGTGAAATCCGCCCTTTATTTTCCCAGAAACACACGTGACCCATATTTTACATAATTCTTTTCGATGTAAAGAAATGGTCGAGATGAAAACGGATTCGCACGGTTCTGTGTGTGTGTGTGTGTGTGTGTGTGTGTGTGTGTGTGTGTGTGTGTGTGTCCGGCTGTCTGCTGAGGCAAAGAAAAGCCGCTGGTTGCTCTATTCTCCGGTAAAGGGCGGATTAACGGATCGGGGTTCAGGGCACAATGCCCAGCTCGAGCGCCATAAAGCACCGTAGTTTATCCAATTACCGACTTAACGTCAATCAACTTTGTTACTTATGCAGCGACATCTGAGCTGGTTAAATCACGTCTCTAGTTAAACACAATTTAAGACAGCGACACATAATTTCAGTCACGTTAACCAAGTCCACTCAAGTTCAGCTTTTTTTTTTTTTAACATGTCATTACGCTATATAGACTGAAAGTGTCCTAATGTTTACACTCAATAATAATAATAATAATAATAATAATAATATTTTAATACCGATGAAAAAACATCTGAAGAATAATCGTATATTTATTTATGTATTAGCCTATGTTTTATTAGTATAACAAGTTAAATTCATTCTTTTAATGTATTTATTTTACTTTATTTAAAGGGTGTGGCAGAATAGCCTGAGGATGATGATGTATATTAAATTACAAATTATAGGAATTCTCCCTAAATATTGCAGCGAGACCTGCATTATTTTTATATTTTTATTTTCTATTTTAAACATTTCAGTGTAAAATTTAATTTGTGCCAATAACATGCAATTTCTTCTACATAACATTTGTTGCTAAATTACATTAGTCAGACATTAATTTTATTTTATTTCATTTTCCAAACCTATAGACTCATAGTTGATCATTGTTATGAGCAAATGCTATATTTATCTAAAGCTGCTGGCACATAAAAGGAGCACAGGTTTGACCCTTTATTGAGGAAAAGAAAGAAACGGGCTCGTGAACCTGAGCTTTGCACGAGGCGGATGTATGAACGGAACAGATGCGCCTATGGTCTCGTGCAGCCCGGTCGCATCTTTGAGCGCGTTAAAGAGATTTTCATGCTGAACAAAAGCAGCTGCCACACCTTTCTCCCGTCACTAAGCTAATTCATGCAAGACCTCTGCGTTTTGTATATTGATTTTATAATCACTTTAGCTTCGGAATAGAAGAAAAGAAACAGAGCAGGAGCTGGTTAAGAAAGAACTACAACAAGCTCCTTTTTTTTTTCCAGGTTTATTTTAATCAGAGTTTTTTTTTCCCTGCGTGGGCCTGGCCTGGAGGCTCGCACGGGGGGATTAAGTGTTTTCTGAATAAAAAAGCGCGTGTTCTCCTTTCTTGATGACATTGTTGATAGCACGCGAGTGTGATCTGGACCAAAATGGCGGCGGTAACAGGTTTCCCATACATACAGGCCTGTATACACACTGCTGTATGCTACAGAGTGATCCCCAACAGGTTGGTGGCTGCAACAAACTCTGGACACTTGTGCTCATTTCCCAGTCTGGAGGAGTTGTACTGTCCTCTCTTATAGCCTGGAGCCTTTCAAATTAAGCTCGTTTCTGGGTGAGCCGTGAGCTGCATCCTTTATTTTATTTTTTTTTACCCTGCCCTCAATTTTTACTCAAAGCCTCCTAAGTGACGTACACTTTCTAACAAAAAGGCTTCCACCACTAGAAAATGGCTCAAAGGGGGGTGCAACAGGGCCAGTTTGTGAGAAGCTATAAGGTGGAAAACTTTACCGGTGTTGTAAAAAAAAAAAAAAAGAAACCTAAAAGGGTCTTATACTGCAGTGGTTCCCAACCTGTGGGTCGGGACAGACACATCTGAGGGGTCATAATATGATAAATTGTGCAGGATATAATCAAGAAAATGTTATTTATTTTAGACTTTTTATAGTGTTTTCTTGTGAAATACTGACTTCAATCTCTTAAAGCTTCGAAACAATTAAATAACCTGAGAGAGACAAATCATTCCAACTGAATATATCTCATGTCACAAGCTAATCACTGATACAGGTGTAAAGAACTGGTGTATGGTGCGATCTAGATCAGCAACAGGGCTGCTGTTATCATTAAATTCATTCGTTTTTCCTTTAATCTGACACTGCATTCATTCCATGGTCTTATTGTTAATAATCTATAGAGACGGGCTCTTACAAGGACAATAAGGATGTGTCGTTTGTCTGTGTGTGATGGTGAATAAACACCTGGATGTCCACAGGTAAACAAGAAAAAGAGGGGAAAAAACCTAAAGAAACGCAGTTCATTTCAGCTTGTTTCTGCAGCCTGACAGCAAAGAGTGTGCTCCAGCAGTGGGTAAAAAATCTAGGTGAAGTGATTTCACCTCCCCTGCTCGTTACTAATGAGTGCGTGTCTCCGCAGGGCTCCGTGGAAGCGCAGTGTGGGCTCGTGCTGAACGGCCAAGGGGGCGTCATCCGGAGAGGTAAGGCCCCGTTTATTCTCTGTTGTTGTACCGGAGGCCGTGAACACTCACGGCTCGACACGACGAGACAAGACAAGCGAGTAGGCAGACAAAACAGGCGGAACACTCCTGTCTCTTGTCTGCTGTCAACATGTTACAGCGGGAACGGCCCCCGTTTTCTCGCCTATTTAAACGTTAACACACTGTACACGCGCAGAGACGGTGCTCCCCATCTCCTGTATGAAATGGACTGTCACTCAACACCTACCTCTTTCTCTTTTTTATTTTAAAACCTAGTCACCCCTAAACTTTGTGTCTGTTTTTAGAGTAAATTAAAATGTCAACACAGCCATGAACAAATGGCTGATTTAATAGTGTAAACCCAGAGTTAACACATGTTATACTGTCATATTACAGCCTGTCACACAGCAGTTAAACTCTTCCTCCCTTTTTTTTGAAGTCAAACCTGTAGGCTACGTTTTAACAGCGCAGACTGACGGCTCGCCTTTGTTTTCATGAAATAAACACGTTATTTTAATGTCATGTTTATTTTAAGATCATAAATTCATCATAATCCCCCAAACATTGCTGTTGATGATCTCATCCTCCTCTGTAATATAAAACAAATAGGAAAACACGGATATTATTAAATAGAATTATTTATGCTGTTATTTTTAGTAGCCTATATTTAAAAACCTCTAAAGTAATTAATAATGTCATAACCGGAGTATAGTCGACAGTTTAAAAGGGTGTAAAGCTTAAATTGACAAATTAATTAAAATTAGGCTCTATAGGTCTATTGTAAATAAAAATAAATTAAGTTCGATTATGCTAAGAGGAAATAGAAAATACCATCATATAGGCTAGGTCTATTAGAATATAAATTACTTGAAGCTAAAGGGATGTCATTTCAGTATTACCACACATTTGATTGCTTCTTCTTACTTTCTTTTATTTAGACTGTTTGCCGGGCTGTGGTGTAAACCATAACCACAGTGGTCATTATGTATTTGGAGTGCAGTAATTGCTGTTTCCTGTATGTGCCTGTATGTTTACTGAGAGCCAGCAGAATTAATCTTTTAAAGGCTGGGTCGTGTAGGCGGCCCAGGTCGACTCTTCAAAGGGGGGGGCGAGGATGTGGACTCGGCCTGCGTCAACTCTTAAAGACCAGACCTGATCATTTCCAAATGAGTCTGGGTTTTAAACACGCTGCGGATCTGCTTTTTTAGTCCATCAAAGCCTGCTCCGGGTTTTTGATTTTAGTCGGGACTAGGCTATGAGTAGGCCTAGTTTCCATACAGAGAGGAAGGCTGTGTCTCGGGTTTAATTTTTCATCAGGCCTGCCTAGGTGTTGGGGCTTTTCTCTCGGATTGACGCGGGAATCCCTTCGCTATCACTTTCGGTTAATGGTGCGCCGTATTTGGCCCTGAGCTCAGCCGCTGCAACCATCACAACCAATAATCTTTGCTTTACCTCCCGCTCCCGTATCGATAGCTTCTCTCGCCTCGGGCGGACGCTTTGATATGCTAATACCGAGCGGGGCCCCGGATTCAGTCGAGATCATATTAATGTTGTTCTTTCTGACTGCGGCTTTGGCGGCATGAATATTCACATAACCTTTTTCAAAAGAAAATCACTCAAGAAACGCGGATCCTACTTAGGAGGAGTCGTCTGTGTTTTTAATCACCCCGCTATCCCCTTTTCCAGTTCAGCTCTAACGGCAGTCTCACAGATCAAGCTGATCTGTCAGGCGCGCGCCCCCGCCACTACAGCCCGTGCACGCGCCCCTCTTTTTTTTTTTTTTTCTGTCAAGACATTGGCGGGCTTTTTAGAGCTATAAACATTGTTGTTAAAATATGAGGAGAATGACATTTGGCCCGTGTCTCTTTTTCTTTAATTTTCGTGGCAAACTCGTAAAAGGCGCTTGATTCCGCGTGTGATCCCGCCCGCCGCTCGCGCCGCAGCCCGAGGCTACTCTCCGTTGCTTAAATACCGTTATCGCCTCTGGGCCCGCGCGCTCCACTGACTGCACTACCGGCAATAGCTCTTTTCGATTGCCCTTGGCAACATAAAATACAAACTACTTTGAATCAAAACATTTTTAGGGGAATTAATATGATGTGAACCCGCGGCTTTCAGAGACGCGCGCCCCTGTCAGAGCGCGTGAGTCTGACAGACAGGTCTAGCCCGGTTTGTGTCACATACAGACACAGACGAGCCGGACTTCACACGCGCACGCCACACACGCGCACATACACACACAGACACACACACACACACACACACACACACACACACACACACACACACACACACATACAGGAGGCCCAAGATTAACCAATAGTATCAGTCAATTCCCTCGATCTGCAATAGTCCGTTTTTGACAGCCTGAGTGAAATACAAGTCCCATACAGTCTGGTACAAAGCGCTGCCCGCTGGACTACAACAGGCACAGTTGTGCGTTGTGGGCACGAGCCGCTGCTGTCCATGGTGCTGAACCTGCAGGTCTAACTTCCTTCCTGCGGCAAAAATAAACTGATATGGAACTAGCAGTTTTCTGCTGATTGTGAATAATAGATTCTTAGAGCTAAAATATAGGTTACAGTTGGTCATATATGAGGCTTAGCTGGTGGCCAAATTGTCCACATTGCCCCCCGAAAAGATTGGCGTGTGCAGCAAATCTTCGCCTGCAGCGTTGTTCTATTCGGCCTAAATTGCATCCTTTTCTTCATTCCATCATATCCACCACGGCCTAATAACAAAGCGACACACCCTGCTGTTAGATTTGATAATGAGGCAGATGAATAATAGAATATAGCCTACAGTACATCAGACAGAAACCTTGCGTTTCAGCTGCTTGGGACGTTAGTTCAAGTGAAAGTTTAATAATAATAGGCCTACTCAGAGCAGTCGATATATTCCAGGAGGACCCCAGCAACACTGATTCAGATGCAATTAATAATGTGAAAGAGCCTTCACTATCACAACCCCAATCATTTATTCACACATTCAGGAGCCTCAAGTCCACAATGAAACCAACATGGTGGTTGGTGGAAGGTGATTAAAGGAAGGTTTTGTTTTCCCCTCCTGGGAATACAGCAGACTTTTCTTACATACAGACAAATATTGAGCTGAAACAGAAATATAAATATATGTACATAGTTGAAAAAAGAAAAAAACTAAATGTAATATTTAACTAGAAAAAAGGAGTCTGATGAAGCGCTGAGTGAAACACATTGATCTTATCACTGATTGAAGATACTTGATCCTATATATTTCTGTTAACAGTGTGTGCATTTATTATCACAATCTTTTCTTGATCAAAATTATATTTAAACATCTATTGTGTTTACAGTAATACCGTGGGAAGAGTATAGAAGGATGATAAAGGCGAATAAACCAGCAAGACCAGTGAAAAACTAGTATTTCAGAAAAACAAATTGCTCTTTGATGGGTTAAATAAGCCATTTAAAAATCCATTAAAGGGGAAAACAGAACTGTTTTTATTAGATTATGAAAAGGTGAGATTTTGAACATGCATGTTTTTTATAGGATGGCGACAAAGATGAAAACTGGAATATAAAAATATCAAGTTTGATAAATTTCAATGTAATAACACAAGTGGAAAGAGCATTTTCTTTCCTGTACAGAGAAGAAAACCTCCATTCAGTGTGGACAGTAGACACTACTGCACACTGGCTATTATTACTACACCTAGAGGAGAGCCAACAGACCTCCTGTTTGCTCTGATCACACATATAATTTGTATAATGTCACATATATGTGAAAAGGTTTGTACACATTTAACCGACTTTAAACAAAGTTCCAAAATATTAGACAATAAGAACCAACCAAATGTGTGTGTTTGAGCGTCTACACAAGAACACGTATCAAACTGTTTTATGAACGATGTTAATCCAGTACTTTGAATCTAGGTATTTCAAATCCTAAAAGAGTTTTTATTGGATACGTTCAGTACAGACCTGGAAGCACCTTAAAAGTAAAGAAAGAGGCTCTTGCAGCTCTTGTAATAGAACAATACAGAATCTTCTCATTACTTCCAGCATTCATTGCAAATATATCCCTCAAAGTCAAGGCCCCATGATGCTTTTCAGCACTTTTTGATTCGTACTTTATTTTGACACAGGGTTCATTTGCTTTTTGTCTGGCAGGAGTTTGGTGTAATGGTGCGTGCATGGTTCAGTGCAAACACAGTGGAACCGAACATCCAGAATACCTAACTTATTGTTTTTTATTTTAATATACTTTTAAATCAGTATTACAGAGATGTTTTTGGTATAATGCAACTGAATATTTATAAAAACCCAACGATAAACCAGCCTGCACAATTTAAAATATTCAAGACTGTGTCTACATAAGGGCTCTCCTAAAATAACAGAAACTTTGTTGCAAACAAGTATCGATTCACAGTAAAATGTGCCCAAACGTTGGGTCAAAATTCCTATAGAAGCCTACTCATGTCAAACAATCACTGGAAACCTGCAGTACACAGATGTAGAACTGGTGCTACATGTGGCACCTAAACATAGAAGAATTATTCTGTTAAAAATGTTGTTAAACGCAGAATTGTTAGAGAAATAATTTACCCATCATGTATTCACTCCTATGTGAGTTGAAACACAGATGGAGTTTGTATGTTCAAATAACACACAGCCAATTATCTAGCAGAGCTCCACGTCAGCCTCCTCCAAAGCTAACTGAAGTGACAAGAAACTGGTTATTCACTGTTCTATTAAACACTATTACGATAAATAAACCAGTTCAAAACCATTTGGATAATCTAAAAAAGCTGAAATCAGAGTTGTTTGTCTTAGCTCAAGATCAGAATAGGCTGCGTCTTTAATTTGTGTTTGGTTTAGAGACAGTGTGGGCAGAAATGTGTACTGTGTGTGACAAAAGAACGGTAGTTAATATAAAAATATAAAGTCTTATGAATAATAACTTTTTTTGCTAGTTGAATGACTATAAAAAGCCAATTTTTGGCTACTGAAGCTGTCGTACAAAAGGTCGGTTGGACTTACAACCTAAACAAGTGTCTCAACTGAGCACACAACTGTGCTGTTCATCCACGCTGAACCTCGTTGTAACAAGCTGTGTGTTGTGTTTGTGTGTAGGAGGGACATGCGTGGTGAATCCTACAGATTTGTTCTGCTCGGTACCGGGCCGACTGTCGCTGCTCAGCTCCACCTCCAAGTACAAAGTCACCATTGCTGAGGTGAAAAGAAGACTGTCCCCACCAGAGTGCCTCAACGCCTCCCTACTGGGTGGCATACTGCGCAGGTCAGTACAAACACACACAGGGCAGAAACACAAGGGTTCATCACAGTCTCTTTATTGGATGCATACAGTGATTGAAGAAAGGATACTGATTTGTTGAAGACAAATCATGGAAGATCATGACATGATATATTTAGAGAATTATGGCTTCACGTAGAACCATTTCATCTTGTTACTGCAGAGAACTAAACTGAACTGTTTATGTGGGATTCTCAACATCTTCTCTGGAGAATGAGAGACACAAAACTTTATGAACAAGTCCATTTTGCAGCAGCAGGGTTATATAAGAATACAAGTGTGTAAGTGTAATAGTGAAAGGATGTAAGCACCTGGTAGTGTACAATAACCAGCAACTTGTGGACAAAGTCATGACAAATGCATCATTGTACGACTGAGAGCTGTGGATTGACTACAGGGCTGTTCTTCTGTATTATCAAAGTGTTTCAGTTATTTTGTCCACCCACAGTATATCCTGTAAAAAATGATATTGAAGTAAAGAGGCGAGTGTGATCAAGAAAAAACATTGGCGGGTGAACACTGGTGAGCGCTGCCTGAGTGTGTAGTCCTCAGAAGAAAGAGAGGATATACAATAGTCACAAAGAGTATTGTAGGCGAACGAGGGGCCGGGGCTGCACGCGCCGCCATGCCCAGGGAGCCAGAGGGAGGCGAGACCAGGCCAAAGCATGCCAGGATCAGAGGAACCAGAGGAAAGCAAGAGTTGCCAGCACTGTATTATTGATGAGGCAGAGAGAAAGGGAAGGGGGGAAGAGGAGAGAGAGAGAGAGCAGAGAGAATATGGCTCGTCCTACAAGATGAGGCATCAACAAAGTAAAAAAAAAATAGAGGTGTTCATCCTGATCTGGAGTGGAATAAAATCACAGACACAACACAGAAATGGTTGTAAGACATGAGAATCTGAGCTGTGTTTTCACGTGTGTGTTGCTGGTTTGTATCATTTGAATCAACTTCAATGTACAGAAGTTTATCTCAAGTGAAACTGCTGGGACCTCTGGTTTGTTACAGGATGATAGAAAACCCTCAGTAAAATTAAACCAAATGATCTTTAAAGTTTTACCTGATAGAAAGTAAGCACATATGCTTTTAAAATTTCACATAAAAGATAAAGAAATGACAGGGAGCATCGTTCCTCTGTTTTCCAAAATAGAACTTATAGAAAGAGACAAATGCTCAAATAATGACAGAAGAAACTCAAGGGGACCACATCCATTTATAAAGAAAGCTTATTTTATATATAATGAGTTGACATGTTTTAATTTTATACTCTTTGATTTAATTATTTTGTCAAATCAAAGCGAATCTATATTCTTCCATCCTTAATTAAACACACTTTTTTTGTAGAATAAGAAGGCCAGAGATTATTTTATTCGTATTTTGGTTCAATTCCTATGAAAAATGATCAAGTGATCAATAATGATGAGGACATGTGATGCTTATGATGTGAAAGGTGTGATGTAAAAAAAAAAGTCATTTTACTTTTCCACAGAGCAAAGTCTAAGAACGGAGGCCGGTGTCTTCGTGAGAAATTAGACCGTCTAGGCCTCAACCTGCCGGCAGGACGGAGGAAAGCTGCCAACGTCACACTGCTCACCTCCCTGGTGGAAGGTAAGAGGCTTTTGTCCAAAAACTCTTCCTGAATGCTTTAGTTATACCTTCAGATATATTCATTTCATAGTCCAGTTTTCATATTTAATTAGTTTAGTGCTTGTTTCATCAGTCTTTTTTCTGGTTTTGTGTTCAGGTGAGGCGCTCCACCTGGCGAGGGACTTTGGCTACACCTGCGAGACAGAGTTTCCCAGCAAGGCAGTGGGAGAACATTTGGCGAGGCAGCACAGTGAGCCTAAAGAAACCAGCGCACGCAAGAAAATGGTTCTGGCTACAAAGTAAGAATACTAACACTCATGAATAGAATAGCACAGTCACACTGAAACCAAACAACAAACATAGAGCTTAAATTGTGTTTGTAGCTTCTCAGCAAGATACAGTGTATTTTATTCGGAAATTTTCCTGATGTTAGTGTTTTCATGTCTTGGCCACAATGGACCCATCAGATGAAAGGTCAATAGGTGTAGGTGAAAATCACAATCAGTTCCAGAGTTGCAACAGGGGAAAGAAAAATGCATAATTTCAAAACTAATTCTTTGATAAAAAGTGCTTGGACCAACACATTCAGCAACAAGAAATTGACTCTCAGAAACAGACAGAGGAAGTTTAACAAGCAATATATATATATATATATATATATACCATTATATAAAAATTAAAACATGCATACTTGGGAAAATGCTCTCCAACTCCATCACACACTCTTTTCATGCTTAGAGCATAAACTACATTTGAATTTAAAGATATTGTGCTTGCAAATACATTTTGGGCTATCAGGCTTGTGTTTATTTTACAGTATGAGCTGCATTTACTGTAAATTCTTATGAGCACATCGAGTACTGAATGTGCAGGGGGGAAACAGCTCCCGCTCTCTCTCCCAGCTAAGTTGATTGCCATCCCAACAATGATTTCAACACTGAATAAAATCTAAAGACAGTCCGGACCAATGTTGAAAACCGCCTTTGACTCTGACAATGTTTGGTGTCATGTTGTGAAAGTGTTTTTCTTGTTTTTTGATTGACATTGAACTTGTCTTGCTCCTGCATGTACTATTTCCATCAATTGTTTTCCTGGGAGGAATTCAGGTGTGGGTTGATCCAAAATGAGGAGGATGGGTGCAAGAGAAGGGGGGGGGGGAAAAAAGACACAAATTGTGACGGTTGTGTTGGAGACAGATGGTAAACCCTCACTCCCTCCCTCCTTCTGTCTATCAGGCAAATCTGTAAGGAGTTCCAGGACTTATTGAGCCAAGATCGTTCTCCTCTGGGCTCCTCCAGACCAACCCCCATCCTGGACCTGGACATCCAGAGACACCTCACACACTTCAGGTAACACACACATGCTTCTTTATACAGAATTAATGGACACTTTTTTAAACAGTGTTTCCAATCTGTAGTAGTCTCTAAACACTTAAAACTACGAGTGTAGACCGTTTTCTTGCAGAGCCCGGCTACTCTCCGCTTTGGCTCTGACCGCTTTGCCATTTTCGAAAGATGCAGCTGTGCAGTTTGTTATTTGGCACAAATGACAGAGGAGGAGGGAACAGTGGCTTGTTAGCAGAAATGTCACATCTATGGCGTCATTCTTTGCAGAATATACAAAGTTTTAGCAAACCTCCAAAGGGAGAGATGTACTGTGGGGCAGAGAAATAAGATGTGAGCTTGATTGTATGAACACAGTTATGGCAGATTGAACAGCAGCTTAAAGCTCTGAGCTGAGAGGTAACCAGACATTTATCTCTGTAGGAACCTCCCTGAGGAGAGATCCAAACAAGTATTATATTGTAAAATTAATTTATCTTATATCTTACCACGTACAGTCTCTATTGTTATCCTGCAGTCTTGTGGTGCTTTGATTAACGTCATGATTTTGATGTGTACCATGACTGGATTTTTGGGTAAACTAATACATATAGAAATGGAAATTATATTAAAAGAGCATACAGTACAGTAGATCTGGGTGTGCAAACACATTTTGTTTATAGAAAGTCAAATACAAACATGGTTGATTGTGACTGTTGATCGCTATAAATACCCACCTGCAACTAAGGATTATTTTCATTGATGATTGTTTCATGGATTCTTTTTTATTTAGTCTATAAAATTTCAGAAAATAGTGAAAAATGCCCATCACAATTTCTAAAAGCCCGAGGGTAAGTCTTCAGATGTCTTCATTTCCCCTATCAACAGTCCTAAACCTAAAAACATGATCAAATTAATCACATTGGACAAAGACAGACAGCAAATCCTTACAACTGGGAAGGTAAAACGAGGGAATTTTTGGCATTTTTGCTTGAAAAATTACTTACACAGTACATCGATTACAAAAATAGTTGTCAGTTTTCTGTCAATCAGCTACTGAAATATGTTTAATCCTGACAACATTCAGGCCTTGAACTTATTATAGTTGTAGTATTCCGTGTTTTCCCATAAATTATTGTAGAAACAGCATTTAGAACATCACAGGGCATTTAAACTCTGCTCTGACAGAGTTAACCCGACTAAAGAAACTCTTTTAGGAGGATTAGAAGCTCCATTGCAGAGAGAGGAAAGTTTCTCTGCAGGTGTACAAACTGAGGAGACAAAAGGAATGTGCACGTCTTCAGTAAACCTGTATGCCTTATGAGCCCCTAACTGTAGGCTACACCTGATTCTTCTTTCTGCACCTGAATGAAAGAAAAGGATTGTTCTCACAGTTGTTTCTGTCTCCTTTCTGACAGCCTGATCACTCACGGGTTCGGCACTCCGGCGGTCTGCGCGGCTCTCAGCACCTTCCAAACGGTCCTGAGTGAGATGCTCAACTACCTGGACAAAAACTCGAGTGGGAAAACAAGTGGACCCACCGACCAACAGATCAACAACAGCTCAGAAAAAACGCAGCTCCGGAAAACAGCCGAGCCCCAGAGCAAAGACGGGAAAACAGAAAAGACTGAGTAGCCCCCACCCAGCCGGTCCCCGTGCCTTGGAGCATTTAGGAGTGTGTGTGTGTGTGTGTGTGTGTGTGTGTGTGTGTGTGTGTGTGTATATATGTGTGTGTGTGTGTGTGTGTGTGTGTGTGTGTGCTCTCAGAAAGGAGTTGTTAATTCCCATGCATTACTGCGTCTTCTTTGGGACAATTCATATTTATTGTAATTTATTTATCTTATGTTTGAAATGTAACACTGACCTGAACTGTCCCAGACAAGACATCCTGATGTGTGTGTGAAGGTAACACATCCTGTTTAGGTGTGTGTGTTTGTGTGTGTGTGTGTGTGTCTGTCTGTCTGTCTGTCCGTCATGACAAGGAGGAGCCTCACTATGGAGACGGCTGTGACTCATCCAAGACTTTTATTTGTTCATTTATTAATTCTAAAAACAGGAAGTAAATACGGACATGCTGACAGCACAGTTTTCCAGGACAGGGGTGGTAACTGCCAACACAAAATAACACACATGTTAAAGGTTTTGGGCAATTTGAGCTCAATTCAGCTAATTCAGATGTGGATTTTCTGCAGCAACACAAAAACTGAAAAAAAAATGTTGTCCTCAGAAGGTTAATTTAATCTGTTTTGTATTAAATTATTACAAAATCTGTCATAATCAACCAAAGTCCTAATTTTGCTTCATTTCTCAGTCGACTGAATTGAAATAACTTTCAATAACTGAACTTCCAAACAGTTTTATCAGATTAAATTGAAAAAGAAATTACTCTGACCCAAACCCTTATACATGCAAACTCAAAAACACTGTTTTCCAACCCCCCCTGTACCTGTGAGAACACTTGAACCTCACCAAGCAGACCTATTTTCATGTCGTACAATCAGTGCCATAGCAACCAGTGTGTTTACCATGTGGTCGACAGAGGAAAAAGGGACTGTTTCTGGAGACTGACGCCACTGCCTGGGGTAGGCTACACACTGTGGTGTGTCTGTGAATGTGTGTGAATGCGTCTTAGTTTGTGGAAGAGATAAAGACAAGAGTGAAAGAGAGAGAGAGAGAGAGAGAGAAGGGTCCAACTCAGCCATTTTGTAAAAGGTGACTTTGCGGTTGCCGTCGTTACTCTTCCCTGTGCATGTCTATCTTTGTACACTCCCCAGATCGCAAGTTTAGCCGACACAAGCTCTCTGACTCGCTCATGAACATTTGTAAAGATATATATAAATATTTAAATTACTTTTCTTGTAGGCTTTCAACTATATATATGTTAAATCCCTACCTTCTAAAATGCTGGTGTTCAATAAAGACAGTTGCTACGTGTTCTACTATTTACTCTGGTTTTAAGATGCTGCACACACACACCACATATAAGCATACATACACACAGAAGGAGGCAAAAGAGCAACCAGAGACCAAAGAGAGGCAACATGGATCAAAGCCAACGAGGGTGAATTATCCATATGAGTTCACAGTGTTAAAATTATAAAAAGTCAGAGTTCCTCTCTAATGTTGTGAAAAAAAGGCTATACCTACAGAAAAGTTCAAAGGCTTTGTCACAATGCCTTTGTGTGCCTGAGCATGTGTATTTTCTTTCAGGTTGAGCGACTTCTGTCAGGTTTCTCTGCTTATTTATATTTCCAAACAAAAAAAAACTGATGATAAAACAGAGAGAGGAGCAGCTGCCTGCTGGCGTCTCCATCCGGGCTCTGTAGGTTCTGTTTACTCTTTAATATTCTAGTCATTTAAAAGGAGGTCACGTTCACTGCATAACACAAAAATACATAATCAGACAGGATGCATTTACAGTGATGCCTGCGCTGGTTTGTCACCATGAATCAATGCAAGTGAGGCCTCAGGTGGAATAATAATAGCGGTAAAGACAGTGATATAAAGAGAGGAAGTGACATGGGAGCAGAATTCCAGTATATTCCCAGTCTTGCTGTTTGGTTTGGTATTTGACAGATGGTGTTATCCCCCAAATATACACAGCTGCAGTCAATGTTTTATGATGCTGGGACAAAGCTGAACCACTGATAATGCATTGCAAAATGTCAAAAAGAATGTACGGTGGCAACAATAAGCTGTCTACAGCCTCTAATTGTGGAGTGACTTGGGTTTTTCATACCTGCTTATACCTCCATACACTTCAACCACAGAGTTTCTATCCAGCACAAGGAAAGTATAAAGGATCTAATCGGAGCTGCAAAAATGATGAAAACACATCGTGTGCAACCAAACTTACAAAACTGCCAACATTTTTGCTTTAGTGCTGAAACAATTATTCAGTTATTTGGTTAATAAACTGAGAATTTTCATAATCATTCATCTGTCATTTATCAAGCCAAAAATGTAAAATATTCTCAGCTTGACACTTCTCAAATGTGAGAATTTGCTTTTTTCCACTCATTTATTCCAGTAAAGAATCATATTTTATAGTTTTGAACTGTTGATCGAACAAAACAAACTCTTGGAAACTGATATTTTATCTCTATTTTCTGACATTTCATACACTAAATGATATGGATGGCCCAGTTTTGCTTATAATGGTAATTTTACTATAATGCACAGCCTTTTGTTTTACACTTATCAAACACAAACTTCAGTGCGGGTTTCTAGCTTTTCTTCCAGAGTAAAATCGATTCTAACATCAACATAACTTATCATTTTCATATTTAACTCCTTTTGCTCCTGATTTCTGTGGTTTTCTAGAGATATTTGCTGCATGTCTTGAAACTCTTCATGAAGCCACACTGAATAAAATGGAGCCTGACAAACACACACATATCCAACTTCTGATCACCAGGAGGCTGATTGAAATGTTGTTTACACTCAGCAGTCTGTAATGACGGGAAGTCCAATATGACACAAACTCAACATTTTGGGTACATGAATGGGTACTGGCAGTTGCTAGGCTACAGAATTCTATAGCTGTAGGTAGATCCTATTATTTTGCTTTTGTTTTTGTTTTTTTAAATGACATGTTTTAATCACATTTTAGTCTGAGCTGCTGGGAAGAACTTCAATGATATCAGTGGCTGATGTGGAAGAATCAGCCTGATATATAATCAAACTCATGTATCTCAAACACTGTGTGTGAAGATGTAACAGAGTGATGTGTATGAGGCAAAGCAGCTTTCTAAATTGGCTCTTTGATGGTTGCTGCATCTCACTGGAGGGTATGAGCGGCAGCAAATAAGCATGAACATACATACTGTACACACCCACACACACACACACACACACACACACATATACACACAGGGCTACACATATGCAGACATACACTCAGAAAAAGCAACTTAATCACAATTTTGTTTGTTATTACTTGCGTGATTAACATGTAATCCCTGCAAAAGACATCCCTGCTGACCCTGCATCAGAATAATAAGCAGCTTGATATAAAATGAGCTGGAAAATGAAATCAATTCATTGCCTGTGCCGGAGTTTCTGTAAATTGACAAACGGACAAGAATGAATCACAAGTTTGACATCTGCAATGCATAATGTGATGGGGCGGCCGATGCATTATTCACACAGGCTATTGATTGCATTACAATGCGGCGCTCTGTTATCACCACATTAAGCATCAGAACATATTTTCAGTTTCAGCATTCTCCGATTCAGCCGTCAGTGCACAATATTGTGTGTTATCTAATTAAATACATGAATCATTCCAATGCAGTGCAGATATTATATATTTGGCATCCAGAACACACACTGAAAATGTACATCTTCAACCCCCGAGAAGCATGTAATGAATACTGCCATTTATATAGAAGTGAATTTAACAGTCTGAGGTCTCAGAGGGACTTTAACTCCTGCTGACTGAGCCCCACAGTCACGAATACCAAACTCTGCTAACTTCTAAGCCCCATCTCTCCAGTCTCTCTCCTCTGAAGCTATAACCCTCCTCCTCCCCTGCCTCTCTGCTAAAACCTCTTCCTCTTCTGTCCTGATCCCATTCAGTCCCAGGAACATTCAAGGCCTTTTCTCCTCAGCTGCCATCCTGACTGTCCCTGTCACTCTCTGTCAACACACAAATACACACACACACACACACACACACACACACACACACACACAAACTGCACTTCACTCAAACCTAAAGGCCTCTCCCACATCCAGGAAGTCAGGAATACCCTTCTCTCTGCTGAGTGCTGTTCAACCTCTGCTGCTTCTGTTAGATCCTGAGAGGGAATTAGAGGTGGGAGTTACGGTTTATTTAACAATCTAGCAAAATGAAGTTTTGTTGCTGGGTTGAACACAACTCTTATCTCAGGCTGTAATGATGCCACACTGCTGTTTTGTTTTGGGATGCAAACTGAGATTTGTCACTTTATCTTTCCTTCCTCTGTAAACATCCATCAGTCACTCCAGAATTCATGTGGACATCATTACTGAGGATTTTATTTGTACCAAACAAAATAATGCAGATGGCCACTGATGGTTTGCTAATATGGAAACAGTGATAATAAAAAAGTAGGGTTTGAAAGATTCTACCTTTTTATGGTGTTTACTTCTGTTGTCTGTTTTATTTAAGTGTCTCAATCAGCAAGCAAGCGAGGCAACATGCATAATAGCAAGACCCTGAAACTGAAACAGCTAAATGAAATTCTGCTGGCTTTAATTGTATTATTCACACCTGTTATTTATACCGCTGTGACATGACAAAATGTCTTCTGTGAAATTGAAATTTTACACATTCAAAAAATATGTATGTAAATCTGAATGCTGCTTACATTTTCCTTCAGTTAGGAGCGATTACTCACATTTACAGGACGCAGTTTCATGCTGATAGTTTATCAAATTCAATGCTGAACTCAGGTCTCCATGTTGTTGCCTCCTTTCTTGGCCCTCGTCTCTTTTCTGTGGTGTTCTAGTGCGACCTAGTGGTTAACAGCGGAACTGCAGCTTTAATATACATAATGTCAGCATGTAATGTGACACCTTTCAGACTGGATCAGGTTAGAAAAGGAAGTCTCAATATAAAAGGAAAGGGTCGTGCATAAAACAAGGTCATATAAGTGTTATTTTTTTAAGTAAAAAAAATAAGACTAAAAAAATAAAAAAAGATGCCTTTATGTCAACAACAAAATGTATAAATCATCAATGAAATATATACTGTATAATACTGGAATAATCCATATAGATACTTATTGAATAACCCATCCATGGCCTTCTTTTCCAGGCATTTGAGACAGTGAGTAAACTAGACCATCCATTCCAATTTTCTGTGTCAGGGCATGATAAATAAAGTATATAATACTACACCACATCTTGTCACTGATACCTATAAGATGTCATTGCCATTTTAAAAATATACTCTAGTTCTCTTTGCTAAGACAGAAAGCAGGACTCAAGTGGAAGCACACACAATCAATTTATCATTTTTAAAAGTCTAATCTAGTGACTGTGAGTCCTCAGTACTCCCCATAACATGAGAGAGTAAATAATTAAAGGATTACGCCACTTTTTCAACATCCCCAAAAACCACACTTACTGTGGAGATCCTATAGTAGATTTGAAAGTGTGTAATTACATGAATGTGAATTAAAGCATTATAGCACAAGGAATACATGTCACACTTGACCCTATGGAAACGTAAAGACGTGCAATAGGATGTGCAACTAAAAGGGCCAAAAGAGTTGGAATCGAAATGATTATAGTCTTTTTCCTGACCGAAATCTCAGTTAAAGTGAAAGTGAGGATGAATATGGCTGTTTCGTGTGGTTGAAAACAAAAGGTAGGGAGCAGATAGAACACTATTAGTGTGACATGCATGTAATGTATGCTGATACATCGTGTGTCAAAGCCCTGCAGGACAACAACCACAACCATTGCCTCCAGACTTCCAGACTGTCAGGACATCTGTCATTGCTGACAGTCATATGCCGTGTGTGTGTGTGTGTGTGTGTGTGTATGTGTGTGTGTGTGTGTGTGTGTGTGTGTGTGTGTGTGTGTGTGTGTGTGTGTGTGTGTGTGAGTGCGTGAAGGAGAGAGAGAGGATCTTTGGCAGCGGGTCATTCCAGAGAACATGGGAACAGCCGTGCTTCTTAAACATTCATGTCTGGTATCCTCAGTGGCAGTTTTTTTTTTTTTTTTTTTTTTTTTGCATCAAACATCAAAAGGGGCTTAACAATGGCAGCAATGTCAGAAAAAATATACACACATACAGGAGTGTATGGACACAGAGAATATCAGAGCTTTAACTGGGATTTATACATCTGAACTCAGTCAAGACCTCTAAAACTTATTCTGACACATAAACTGAAGCTAGTGAGAACAGCTTTTTAATAATTTTAAAGATCAAAAATGGAATTCCTGACAGTAATTTCTGGTCAAAATGTCAAGTTCTGACTCAAGTGTCCATAGACACACATAAACACCTGTATTTCCTCCTAAATAGATACATTTCTTTCTGTAAATAACATACTCTTTCAGTTTGGATGGATGATAGATTGATGCATGTATACTCTTGTGACACTAGGGGGAGCAATTTACACACACTTGGACAACTTCTTGAATTAAAGGGTGGTTGAAGGGGAATGCCAGGCTAATGAAACACTTGTTCTCTCGAAAGATTTTGAATATATTTTTTGTTTTTTAGTAAATCTATGAATGTAGGTGAGACTGAGAACAGATGATTTCATCTTTCTGCTAAGCCAACAGTGAATCCAAGTGACAGCTGTGATTACTGAATGTTGGTTTCATAGGTGCACTTAATCAAGAAATCACAGAAAAATTTATTGTAAAATGGATGCGACTCAGTGATAAGAATAAAAGTATTTCATATAATATTACACACCTGGTGAAGTAGCCCAATTTAAAGGAGAAGCAAACAATTTCCTATGTAATACCCTTCTTCCAATGTCATGTAATGCATGCATTTTATTTAAGTACTAGCTATACTACAATAATACTCTGTTACAAATAAAAGTCCTGCATTCAAAATCTTACTTAAGTAAAAGTACAAAAATATTAGCATCAAAACAAAAGTGCTCATAATATAGAATGAAGGAGTTATTATTAATTACTTTATATACTACTGGGTTATTCCACCAATAATAATACATAATAATTTATTAGTTGATGTATATTTTATACGAATAATCTAAATCTGTAAACTATTGCAGAGCTAAAGATATCAAATAAAATTTAGTGGAGTAAAAAGTACAATATATGTATCTGAAATGTTCTAGAGTAGAAGTATAAAGTATAAAGTAAAATACAAGTACCTCAAAGTACTTGAGTAAATGTACTTTACATTACAATCCACTGGGCATCTGCCATGTAATTTAAGTGGACGCTGATAATCTTTTAATGCCAGAGAGATATTGATTGATTGATTGATATTCACCGTTCTCATTGCCAAATGAAGATATAAATATTTGACAGTGTGAGATTCTGAGAACTTGAGGAAATATATTTCTAAATGTAGGTTTTTAAATAAACTTATTGGGATAAACAGCTGTTTAAATTATTTGGATTTCATGTTATGTTAATTATTATTAATTAATTAACCCACAAATTCAAGTTCAGTAACACCACCAATTGGATATTGCATTGTGATTGTGTAGCAATCTGCACTGGTGTATATAACATAAACACTTCCTGCAATCATTAATGTGACCACACTATTTACAATCAGTGGGTATACTGACTGTAACCTCTCCATCCTGTATTCCACTGCTAATTATTCACAATATATCAATCAATTGTTACTCCAACTAGTCACAACACTTTTTTAATTCGCAATTTATGGGGAGTTTTACACACTTGCCATCCATTACCCAAGTGAGTGATATAGTGTAATCATGTGGTGCCCAGTCTACATGGACTTAGTATATACCACAAGTTTCCAAACATTTCACTATAAATTACAATCAATATGGTTAATCCTATTTCTTGTTGTTCCAACTTCCCAAAAATATTCTATTTCTCCTTTTTCTGGGGACACCCCACAACCCCCAATTGGTCCCCCATCATTACAATACAAGCACAAGTGCACAGATGACAAATCAAAGGAAAAACCTGAATGGGATGAGATGAGTGGGGGGGAAATGCACAGACACAGGTCACAAGGGACCACAGGATGGTTCAATAATGTGATGATATGGTCTTCACAGTCACCAGATTATAACCCAACTGAAAAACAATGGGAGATGTTGGACCAACATGTTGGACAGGGCTCTCCTCCACCAGAATGAGGGAATATCTTTGGTGTTCGTGCCTCCAGTAAACATAAACAGACTTGAGGAATCTATGGCCCAGGAGGACTGAAACAGTTTGAGACAAAAACAGATAGATAGATAGATAGATAGATAGATAGATAGATAGATAGATAGATAGATAGATAGATAGATAGATAGATAGATAGATAGATAGATAGATAGATAGATAGATAGATCAGAAGACTACAAGACAGAGACAGGCATTCAGTATCATGTCACAGGGGCATTAAGAAATACTAGAAGATATGAACTAAAAACACTATACACTTGAATAAAAGAGCCAGAAAATTAGATTGTATTTTAGTTTTTGGTTTAATTTGTCACCTATGTAGAAATCTATCTGATGTCCCTTTAGTATACAGTAGCATCTGTAATAGCTGATGATTACATTCAATCAGATCAGAAGTGTCTTAGTGACCCTTCACCAGAGTTGTTCATCTGTGTGCATGAAGGACTAACTGGCTGTGCTTTTATTTTGGAAATTACAGAGATATGTGATAAATAAAACATGCACTCTTTGTATTTGTTTGCTTGTTCCTCCTGCTCATACATGGAGCAGCCTGCTGCTGTCAACCCGCCCCATAGCTCTTCAGCAGTAGTGGAGCCTATGCAGGGGTTCCCCATTCACAAAGCCTGCCTGACTTTACAGAGGGCGGAGAGAGAGAGAGAGAGAGAAGGGGGGGGGGTAGGGAGGGGGGAGAGAGAGAGAGATGAGACATCCCTTCCTCACTTGGCTGCATTCGGTTTACCGACACCGGAGAAGCGACCATGCTGTGGAAACTAGTTGAGAATGTCAAGTATGAAGATATTTATGAGGTAACGTTGCCGTCCATCTGTTTGTGTCGTGAGGAAACTGAATTGTTAGATATGCTTTTAGAGAATAATGAAGTGTTGGACATTGTTAAGATAAGTGAGGTGTTCTGCGGGAGGCTTTAGGCCTGTTATTCTGTTGATGTGGTGAACATGAATTGGAGGACATTTCACTACATGAACATTTCGTTCAGACAGAAATTTGGCTCGTTTGCGCTCCAATGTTTTATAACGAGTTTATAAAATGTTGTGTTATCGTTGTTGCTGTGGTGCAGGTCCATTCACGTTTTGGATAAGAGAGTGAAACGGAAAAATATTTGACATTGGATCAAGATAATTTGTATTTTAGTAATTATTTTCATGAAATTTCACACATATTTTAAATATTTAAAATCATCTACAATTTAAAACTTCCAAGTCAATTTAATCATTTTACCTGTGAAAATATCTCTAAACAGATATTTAGAAATAGATCAGGGGTGCTGCAAAAATATGTATTTAAAAATAATGAACAGCCTAATTTAGATTTTAAATGAACGCAAAAGAAAAAATAAGTTGGAGAAACCCCGGGTCAGAGAAGGTTGATGATATGTCAGAAGTATGTAAATCATTTGGCTTTGATCCCAGAACAATAATTTTTAAAAAACCAACGAGGGGAAGGGGAGAAATACCGCCGCGCGCGGGGGCGAAACGCTGCTCCGGCTCGCGCTGAATGGGCTCGAGCACAAAGCACACGAAGAAAAGGGCAGCTCGCGAGGCCCCTCGGCTCAGCCCGGTGGGAAACCCTTGTCTCGTGCCGCACATGGCTTTTCTCCCACGGCGCGAGGGAGGGGAGGCTATAATGTTGTTAAACAAGTCATCCAAAAGAGGGCCCCGGTATAGTCTACAATATAAAGTTTAATCGCTTCTTTTGACTCGTGACACCATTCACACGAGCCCCTCGTGCGCCCTGTAGTGTCTCGGGTGTGTTTTTCAGCAGGCTAATAAAAGGCAGCTGCAACTCAACATGAGCCGCCCTTTAGTTCTCCAGGACTGTTTATGTTGACAGGCTGAAGTCAAAATGTCACAAATCTTAGAAAGACGTGTCTGTGCGTAAAAGTAAAGTGAATCTGACTTATTCTGAAGCTTTACATGGTCTTACATTGGCACGAGGCTGGGTGTATCTGACAGGAACTTGACCCTGGTGGTTTTAGTGTCATGCTAGACCCGGTACGCTTTACAGCAACATCAGGTTATAATGTTATCCACCTTATATTGGTTTTATAACGTCAGTGTGTATGTAAGTATGCGCAGAAACGGTTTGTCCAAAAGTGTCTCCAAAGCCAAGAAAGTGCTCTTATCCTGCGCCAGATTTTTGCACATAAAAAGGCCCCCGACGCGCGTGCTTTTTGTGACGGGGTATTCCTCGCGGGTCCAGTCACCCTGTTCGCTTTCTCCTGCGCGAGAGAGAGTCTCCTTTTTCTATCTCCTGCTGTTCGCGCGTCGTTTCGGCTCTCCACGGAATTTAAACGTCACTCAAGGTTGCGCGAGAGGCTTCACGCTCCATGTGTCGCCAGTCCCCTGCCTCGCGCACATTAATATTCCTGTAAGTCTCAGTCATGAATAACAATTACACCGTATACCGGGGGTAGAGGCGGGCGCTCGGTACTCACACTCAGAGCGGCGGCAGCTCCGGGCGGAGGAAGGTTCTGCATGGAGCTGTAGACCAGGCCAGTACCTGCTGATATACACGCGCTGCTTTTTACCTGGAATGAGTTTGACCATCTCGGCCCAACACGGTCTTTAACTCGCCTGCTGTTTTTACCGTGAGCCCGGTCGTGACACCAACAGAGGGCTTTACAGATGTTAGTTCATTCCTACTCCACTGCGGTGAGTTTTCTTTCCCTCACAATGTATTTCAGAATCCGGTTGAGTAAATGTTGAATCCGTAGATATTGCTAGGAGGTTTTCGTGGTGAGGCATTTTAAATGAGGCTGTAACATTTTTCCTCCAGGCCCTTTTGTGCTTTTTGTTCAGGAGATTCGATGCCAGGCTACTTTGGCTGCATCACCAGGGGCAACATACACACACACACACACACACACACACACACATATATATATATATGTGTGTATGTATATGTATAGCACCATGGTCCTAGGCCTCCGTGTGGTTTCATTTCGTTAAAATGTAGCTCTAATTTCTGTTCTTCTCTGCATCCTCTTCAAGGACCGGCATGACGGTGTCTCGAGCCACAGCTCGCGCCTGTCCCAGCTGGGTTCGGTATCGCACGCGGGACCCTACTCCAGCGCGCCACCGCTGTCTCATGCACCCTCGTCGGACTTCCAGCCTCCGTACTTTCCACCGCCGTACCAGCCGCTTGCTCACTACCAGAGCCAGGATCCGTACTCCCACGTCAGCGACCCGTACTCCCTGAACTCCCTGCACCAGAGCCAGCAGGGCGCATGGGGGGCGCGGCAGCGGCAGGACGTCGCAGGGGACCGGATGGACAGCTCCGCTCTGCTGGCTCAACCTCGGGCCTCGCTGCCACAGCTGTCCGGGCTGGACCCAAGGCGGGACTACGGTGGCGTGCGGCGGCCTGATGTGCTGCTGCACTCCGCTCACCCGGGACTGGAGCCCGGCATGGGCGACGGACTGCTGCACGGGCTGCATGGTATGGAGGATATTCAGGTGAGTCAAAGACCACAGCCAAGATTTATAGCGTGAATGTAACATTTTACACTTCCAATTATGATTTTTACATTTTTTAAAGTCACTTTTAGTTTTCGTTTGTTTGATATTTTAAGTTATTTGAGGGAAATTGAGATCACTATATCCGAGAAAGATTAAATCTGCAGACCGGCTGTACACTGGACAAAATAGGGAATATGCCAAAGCAATTTCACTACTATTTATTGTATATTATCACAATAACATATATAAATGTATCCACTGTAATCAAGGATTTAATAATTCCCAGTTACAGTAAAGGAAGTTTTATGTTTAACTAAAACAAACCTATTTAATCATGAAAAATATAAATAGTGGGAAGTTTTTTTTTTCCTATTTGGATGACAGTTGTGAAATACAACAACATTAAAATAAATATATTAATAACATTAAAGTGGAAGACACGGATTGGTAATTGTTGACAGTTGTCTTCTTCATTGTCTCCGCATGTTCGCCGTGCCTTTAGAGTTAAGGTCAGTGAACTCAGAGCAGCTCCCTCAGGGCTGGACTCTCACAGCAGCTGTAGCCTGAACGCAAATGGCCCACAGCTACACAAACTGTCTTCAGAGACCTGAGAAATCTTCTTTGATGAGAAGATGCTGATATGTGGAATAAATGGGCTTCAGAAAGGCTGCATGGGGCTCAAATGTTGCTTATGTGAATTTAAATCCACCTGCCTTTATTGCCATAATGATTCTGTTTAAAGCAGACGAGTCTGAAGATGCTGCAACATTTTATTAACTTCTATATTTAGAAAGAACACCTTTTGTGATTTTTTATATTATTTTGTATTAAAAAATATTTTTACAATTACATTTAGTGTATTATTTTCATTATCATTAGTAGTAGTATCATTATTACCATTATTATTATCCATGCCCACACTATTGTTGCTATTGAATTCATTGAATTTTAAGGCTGGTATTTTTGTTTTACAGGATAATATAGATTTCTTTGTGATCATTGTTGCTTCTAAGGTGCAAAATATACAAAGCAAGCAACCAAAGACTTGGTGAAATTGACTTTATAGTCATCTGTGTAGGATCTCATCTTCCCCTCGTTTCCCCTCAGGGCACAACCATCACGAATTGTTTGCCATTTAACCTCCACAATAGATTCTAATTTCTGGCTTTCCGTATTTGTGTCATGAATTTATTAACCCCCATATAAATTCGTTTTAGCAAATTCTTTGTTTTTCTTTTTTTATATACGAGCGTGCAGCAACATCAGGTCTATTTAAGAAGGAATTTATCTCGCAGGATGATGAAGGAGGCTTTAAATTTGTGAGGATAGTTTATTCTATACGAGACACGCCATACTCAATAAAAGAGGGAAAGGATTTTAAACTACATTTGTTTGCTCTGTGGAAACAACCTAAAGACGTATATTCCCACTCAAATGAATCCTGCAGGATTCTGCTGTGTGTTTGATTGGCTTAAAAACTAAAAATAAGTTTCACAAAATAATGGATGGATGCTCGGTAAGTGAGTCATGCGGATCTTCTTGTATAAAGCAGACTATAATGATTATGTGTTTATCTTGGTTCGAGCAGACCATTGAAGACACCAACGGAACGAACATCCTGGATCAATCAGTAATTAAGAAAGGTATGAACACACACACACACATCTTTGTCTGTACTCTGGGTAATGTTGCCTACAAATGCAACAATATAATAAAAATGTCACTTTTAATACAAATATCAAATATATAATTTGGTAAATTCTTTTTGAGCTTGTTGATATAAGATCAAAGTAAAGAGGCAGAGTTGCCAACTTAGTGTTTCTTTCCTCCATGTGCTGTTATATATTATGCTTTTCTTATGTGTGCTATGAATTGTGATGATTTATGGGATATAGAAATACAGTCTCGCTCATAAAAAAGTAAATCTGGGCACGACTTGAACCTGAACAGGACCAGACCTCCATATCTCCATGTTTCGGGCTGTTAAAGGTCGATCCCTCCACCGTGTATAGGCAGATCTTGTATTTTTTTTTTTTTTTGAGGGGGGGTGTTGAAGATGAGGAGTTTAAAGCCGGGTTAACGATCCCGGTATATTGACTCGCAGGCAGTGTGTCGCTGACAGGCTGCCATGCTGCCGCTCTGATGATGTGCCGTGATTTAGTTACGGGATGTTGAGTGACTGAGCTCCCCGCGGGGCATTTAAGCCGCTGATGTAATAAATGGCACCGCTCACGGAGATCTCGTGAGCTCGTTTAGAGCTAATCTGCGGTATTATCCCCCGTGGAGCCATCAAAACCCCCTCGCACTGGCCCCTACGCACGCATACATGCACGAGGGCTGGCTGGGCTGGGCTGCTTTTTTTTTTTTTTTTTTACGCCATTAGCGCGAGCATTAAACACGCGGGATGAAGGAGCATCCAGTGCTGCTGGTGGGAGTTAAACCGGCCGTGGAGAAAAGACGGGGAGGGGGTTAATGCGATTCGAGAGCGCGAGCCAATCAACAATCGATAATATTATAATGAGAATGTCGCGCGACATTAAATAACAGCAAATGCCCGGCGCGTGGGCGCTTCATTAGGCCAGGGCCGCCCTCTGAGCGCGCGTGGCCTCACACACACACACACACACACACACACACACACACACACACACACACACACACACACACACACACACTGAACAAAGTTTGACAGAGAAGAGATTTCAAACTTGTGTCACTCCCTCGTATCTGAACAACTTGTTATGTAAGAGAACCGCTCACACCGCCTCTAACCTTCCTCCCGCAGTTCCCATGCCACCCAAGAACATGGGCTCTCTGATGCTCGGCAAGGACGGGCTCATCGGTGGGGTGACCGTGAACATAAACGAGGTGTTCTGCTCGGTACCGGGCCGCCTGTCGCTGCTTAGCTCCACCTCCAAGTACAAAGTGACCGTAGGGGAGGTGCAGAGGAGACTGTCCCCACCCGAGTGCCTGAACGCCTCCTTGTTGGGGGGCGTGTTGAGAAGGTACGACTGCAGCCCCAGAGCATGTTGACGCTGGAGTTCAGGAATAACTTCTGTGGATGTTTTATGAAAGCGTGTGGCTCGTTAAATATGCAGAGGTATCTGTGAATTAAACCCTGAGCGGTATGAAATTGCCTCTGTATCCATTACCACCTAGATTCTAGTTAACTTTAACATCATCTCTGGAGACAAACCGGAGCAGAAGCTGATTAATAAAGTTTCCCAACTCTGAAGCTAATACTGGTCATTTATTAATATAATGCTCTGTGAGAGAGTTTTTACATATTATATAAAATATTTCTATGCCACATAAACACGTCTGTAAATGTGCAATCTTACATGCATGGGGATTTCTTTTGTTTCTACAGAGCAAAGTCCAAAAACGGTGGGAAATGTTTGAGAGAAAAGCTGGAGAAGATTGGACTAAATTTACCTGCTGGAAGACGCAAAGCTGCCAATGTCACATTACTAACATCCCTCGTAGAAGGTGATTTGTTTGTTTACTGTTTTAAACTCCATAAACAAACCGTGATAACCGACTATAGAAACCAAACATTTTATTAGCATCTTATAAGCGATCAGATAAACTCCAGTTTCAACGTGATGCACAGGGTTGCAAAGGTCATGACCTTACAGGCTTGACAAATGACAGTGACTGTATTCATAAAATGGCTGCAAGAGTGTGAGAAAAATAATTATTTAATATTGGAGTGGAGAGTGGAAGGTTGGGATTACTAAATACGATTAAATTATACATTAATTGATTAAATACTGCAGTTTGGGCCTGTCCCACTGTATGTTTTGTATATTGTATTTTTTCCATATAGGCCTTGTTGTCTTATACATATAATCCACTCACATATTCACCAAAAATGGCCATCTGCTCATTTCAATTAAAGCAACATCATTCTGCAAACAACATATAAAATAATAGTCTACATTCTTTTAATTTTTTTTTAAATGTAGTTCAAATATTTTTATTTAACCAAAGATTTGCTGATCTACCCAGAAAGTCATAATTTATCAGATATTTGAGACTTCTTTTTATTTTTTTAACCTCCTGATTGGCAGTTCACTACGTTTATAATTGCTTGCATGTGTTCTCTTTTGCTATAAGAGAGATAATAAAATAACTCCCTCTTTTTTTTACTAATCATTTAAACAAGATAACTGGCACATGTCATTAATTTTCACAATAAAACAATGAGAACTGTGTCACTTTATGTTGTGTTGGTGCAGCTGAGAGGACGACGGCGGAAATAAATTAGTGCGCAAAACGATAACGTCTCATTTTTTAACAAATATATCTGTATATCCCGAGACAACCAGGACATATGTGATCATGCCACATTAATTAATGTTAAATTAAAAAAAGCAACTTCTGCAAATGAACAGGCGGAAGTTGTAGAAGTGAAATTCCCATTTCTCCATCACTAAGTCAAATATTTACATTCTCTGCAGCTCATTGTTTGTCTATATTAAATGTACACTGACTATATGCTTGCACCTGTACCTCCCCCTGCCCCACCCAGGTGAAGCAGTCCACCTGGCCCGGGATTTCGGTTACATCTGCGAGACAGAGTTTCCCACCAAAGCCGTGAGCGAGTACCTCAACCGGCAGCACGCGGACCCCAACGAGCTGCACACGCGGAAAAACATGCTGCTGGCGACAAAGTGAGTTTGATGGACCGTTTGATTAGATACTGCTTCTTCATAGTCTTTATAGGGTGTCACAGAGAATATATAGTACATGTCTGCAGTGTAGCATATAGGGAGATACCGTTGTAATGAGATTATACCCTATGGCTAGCTGTTGTTGAATCATTTAAATTAGGTATTTAGGTATTTAGACACATTCAACCTGAGCAGAGCATTGTGGAAAAGTACAAAGATCAGGCCATGATACATATACACTACTTTCAACACAGATAGAGGAAAGTGCTTGAAAAACAACAGCAAGATATTTCCAGTTCAGACTCTCCTAAAACAGCAGATGTTCTTCTATTTAAGTGTCCCAAAGATCCGAAACAGTCACACATTTCACCTCATTTAACCAGGTTTATATTTCAGGGTGCCATTTGGAAAGCTTTTTGTTGTTGTTGATTTGAATTACATAACTGTTACACACACACACACACACACACACACACACACAGGGTGAAAAACAGGACATTCTTCTCCTGCGACTATTGTGAAATTAAACTCTCTCTCATTCTCCTAGGGGCCTCTATGGCCCCTTTTTAAGACCCCCCTGAGGGTGCAAACCTCTCCAATCCTCTGTGCTTTACTCTAATATCACATACAGTCCATTTTATAGCCATCGTGAACTGACATTTGCAAAAAAAAAAGAGAGATTTTCTTAATGAAACACATCAGACCAGATATGGATCTAACCTATAATGAAATGGCCGATTGGAAAATTGCCACACTGAAGAATCAGGACAGTTAAATTCAATTCAACCATTTAAGGAAAGAGCAGAAATACGTATTAAAGGCAAAAATCCTATAATGACTAAACAAAATAGCGAGGCATTAATTTTAACCTTTTGATTGAAATATAAATTATGTTTTTAAATATCAGGACAGGGTGTGAGATAGATGCAGTGTGATCTCTTCACTCTGCAGCATCCTTACAAGGGGTTCATTTCACAGAATAATAACCTTTAGCTCAAGTACAGATTAACCTTATTTGATGCTGGACACTTTAATGTGGCCTGTACAGCTCACAGACATAAAAGGTTGCTAGTGTATGTTTGACCCCTGCTTCTGGTCTTAGAGGCGATCCATTTTTACTGTTACTCCTCGTAAAGTTACTTATATTAATCCATTTTTACGGCTCTTAAACTGTGGAATTGAATCAGGGATCTTCTGATTACCTTTAGTAACGGAGCAAAATAAGATTTCTTTAGAGGAACCAGGGTAGCAGAGGTTATGTGGATTTATAAATGTGGATTATATCACAATATTACTGTTGAAAGTGATCTGCCAATTAATAAGTAGTCCCATTCTATGTCCATTTATGTCCATGTGGGTTTTCTAGGCAAAAAGGTTCTAAGCAGAGCTGTAAACCATCTAACGAAGATCCCTTCGGGAAGCTTGTATTTTTAGGTTGCATAAATACTGCTGTCTTCTGGCCTGTAAACCATCTGCCTGTGTATGTGTGTGTGTGTGTGTGTGTGTGTGTGTGTGTGTGTGTGTGTGTGTGTGTGTGTGTGTGTGTGTGTGTGTGTGTATCCCAATGTACTCAGTATGTACGGTGTGCTCGGTTGTGGATGTTTGATGCTCAGATTCAAACCTGTTCCAATACTGTGTGTCGGTGCTGCCTGTTAGAAATTCATTATTTAGCAGTGAAGGGTTTCAAGTCGTCAGAAAACAACAGCGAGAGCCTTGAGTGTAGCCCGGGGTGGCGGCTTCTCCTCTCTACTCCCCTAACCCCAGCTGGGCTCGGCCTGCACAGCCTGTCACTCATTTGCTGGAGCTCTGCCCTTAGGCCGCTGATAGGGTGTGTGTGTGTGTGTGTGTGTGTGCATGGGGCGTGCAAGTACAAATCTAAGAGAGGGAGAAAGGGAGAGGTTTCTTGAATATAAAATGTGGGCCTAAAACCAGAGGATGATTTAACAAGGAGAACAAGGTGAAGACGTGGTTTTCTTTTACCATTGAATTTTTTTCGCCTTAAATATAGTAAAGAATGAAGATCCATTTGATGACCATAAAACCTTTTTTGCTCTGGCATTAGTTTCACCTCATTTTCCAGACATCAAGGGCTAGTACTTTGGTACAGTGTTACACAATATGTGCTATTGGCATTAGCCTTGACTTTATGGGTGCATTTTGTTATTAAAGTATTGTGGTGAAGTACTTTTTTCTCATTCTTAAAGACAATTTGTCAAATATAAATGGTATGACATCATAATAGGTGTCCAAAGAAGAACAAGTTTCACTCATCTAAAGCATCAGCAATAAACAGTTTTAGTGTGAGGCCTTCAGAATCAAAGAGGGAGCTTTGTTTTAGATTTTGAACCAACTTTCACCAACTAAACAAAGGGAGAAAAATAGAAAAATACAATTCAGCCGGAAGACATGTGTTTATTGAATTAACTCTCAAAACTTTCAGTTGGAAAACGTGTACACTCTTAGTGTCTCGCCCAGCCTCCCTGTCCAGGTAACATTAGACTGTAGCAGCTGATTGCATCAAATTCATGCTTTTTCTCTGATTGTTTTCCAAAAGCATTCTGGGTAACACAAAAAAATAGAGGTTAAATAGAGGAAGGCTTAAAGAAAGTGTGCTTAAACGTCATTGCAATATATCAGGGGTTTCATTTACAGGCTTATACAGGGATTTTTTTGCATTACAATTTGATATTCATCCTTTGTTTTGACTTTTTTAAAATACATTTTAAGCATCCTTTGAAGTAAAAGCCCAAAACAATAGAGTAAAAACATTCCTGCTCTGTTGTAAATATCCTGATTTAAAGGGTTTAGTTTTCGAAATGGCTCAGCAGAGGGTCAGCAGTTTGCACCACTTAACTAAGAGACATGTTTAAATAATATACCTGTTTCACAGCAGCCATTTTTACATTAAGTAGTAGGGTAAACACAGGTGTTACCAATGATCCTAATTAAGGTTCTGTTCCATTAAGTGTGACAGAGCCTTTCCACTGAGCCAACATGTGCAATAGCAGCCCCAAGACAGTTTGACCTGAATGGAACAGAACCTTAATTTGTATCACCTGTGTTTAACCTATTATTTACTGTAAAAATGGCTGCTGTGAAAAAGGTCTATGTTCCAAAGAACCCTGGTTTGACAACTTAAATTCGTGTCATGATGCACAAAGCTTTTGCTGTAGTTTCCCGTCTCATTGGATAGGTGGGTGGGGTCCTGCTGCCTTCAGGAGCTGCTGAACCATCTGCAATAATTTTCATCATCAGTCTGGGTTTCAGTGGTGGTCCTAATGGACACTGCACCTTTACAAGAATACTTCCCTAGGTGAATCACTGCTTTTGCCTTTAGTTTTTCCTATCCTAACATTTGCACTGTAAGCGATAAGAGATACACTGAAACACAGAATATGCTTCTTTATCCTCAGTGTAGTTAAAGCACCATAGATCTTTGCCTTGGAAGATTGTTTTTATTAATAGGTTGCATTCAGTCTCAGGTGGCATTGCAGGAACATCTGCAACTAATGCAAAATACCCTCACTGCCCCCCCCCCATGACACTTTTCACCACAGAGGCATCTCGGTACAATGCTGGTAGCGGCTGATTAGGGTGCTTTTTCCTTTTTAGTTAGGCTGGGACTGCACATACTCTGATAATGATTTATATTTTAGTATCAACTGGATATTGGCCAATTTTTCATCATTAAACATATTGACTGCAGAGAACTTAAAGAGACTGATAACAATACACATGCATGCCTTGGTTGCATTAGCAGGTGCAGTAGAGGTGGAAGTTGAGAAATCATTGGTTTTGAGAGTTTTGATCTTCCTGTAGTCCACATTCTGTTTGCCTTTCCACTAATAACTTTTAGAGGGAAACAATGAATAAGTTAAAATTACAGATACTGAAAACTGCCACCAAATATCCATTATCAGCTGCAGTGGTATTACTATATTTGGTAAACTCTAGGATGACGTCTTGTTGTGTCTTCTCCCTTGCAGACAGCTGTGTAAGGAGTTCACAGACCTGCTGGCCCAGGACAGGACTCCCCTGGGCAACTCAAGGCCCAGCCCCATCCTGGAGCCTGGCATCCAGAGCTGCCTCTCCCACTTCTCCTTCATCACGCATGGCTTTGGCTCGCCTGCCATCTGCGCCGCACTCACCACCCTCCAGAACTACCTCACCGAGGCTCTCAAAGGACTCGACAAGATGTTTCTCAACAACCCTCCCAACAACCGGCACGGGGACGGCGGCAACAAGGGCGACAAAGAGGAGAAGCAGCGGAAATGAAGCCGGGGAAGAAGGGGAGCGATGACGGAGAGCCGAGCAGGAGGCAGACACACAGACAGAGGCGTTACACCGCTACTTCTAGCTTTACACCACTGCCACTGACCTGCCACACACAGGGCTGAGGTGGAGGAGGAGGAGGAGGAGGAGGAGGAGGAAGAAGGCTTGGTAGAGAGAAAAAGGCAGAGGAAGACACCCGTGGGCCAGTGTCAGAGAGCACAGAGGGATTTTTCATCTGTGTTAAGTTCTTTTCATTCCCCTGAGGACATGGTGGTTACTGTGTTACATCCATTTCGCTCCCCCTGCTTGCATCCTGTGAGACTGAGACGCTGTGAGCAGCCAACAAACAACATTGTGTGTGTGAGTGTGCGTGTGTGTGTGTGTGTGTGTGTCTGAGTGAGTGCGTGTGTTTGTCCTCACACAGAAAAAGCATTGTGGGTATGAAGATTGGGTGATGAGCATAGTATCTGTGAAACAGGTTTGTCTGGTTACTTAACACAAGCAAGGAGGGAGGGTGTTAATTTATGTGTGTAAATATTTATTTATATTAATTTAAATGGATGGTTGTGTAAATAGGTGCACCAGCTATTTTGGAGTAGGCCTATTTATCTGTGATTCGACCTTTGTGAGCCAGCGGGGGGGAGGTTGGGGAGGGGGGGCAGGACTCATCCAGTGTTTTTCTGTTCTTATAGAGCTGTTGTCATGGTGCTGATGATGGGTAGACATGCTTCTAATTGTCCAGTGATTTCATTTCTATCACATTGATAATAAACCATGTGTTTTATTATGCAAGGTGTGCAGCCGGCGCCTTTTCTCCAGGGAAATCCTCTCCCACCCAGGATTAAGGGGTCAGAGTCAATTTCAGTTCAATCCATTCGAAATGTAAAACATGATATTAATTTACTGATGTCAGGGCATTTACCTTTACTTATTTCATGGAATATTAATGAACACCTGCAAGTGAAGTAGTTTACATTTGGCGGATTCAAAAGAAAATGCAACATTTCTGAATGATTGAAATTGGAATTGGATCAACCCCGGCAGTAATCCTGTTATTCACTGTGATATTCAATGTGATGGGTCAAATTCACAGGCCAGGCATCTTTGCTAGTTATTCTAAGTGTTAAAAAAACAAACAATTAAGATCCAATTAATGAGCCAGCAACCATATAACAATAATATAATATAATAATATAATAATAATTACTTGCAGCAGCAAGCAGTAAAATCATTGTGAAGCAATAATACAACAGAACTAAAAATTAGTAATTCAGATATTTCTTTAAAAAGACACTCAACGTAACCATCAGCCTACTTTGGCTGCAGTGCAGTGAAGTACGGTAAGGTATAATCTAGCTCTTCATCTTCCTGCAGGGAGAGCTGTTGGAAATGGTGATATTCAAAGGCCCAATCTTTGCTTTGAATGTAAAGAAAAAAAGTAACCCCACACAGAATATGAGTCACATTGATTAATAGATGGACCTGAGTCATAGCTGATGCTGTTAAGGCTTGTTTACCTTAATGATGTTTGTCAGGGTAAAACAGCCCTTATGAAGGGATGATCAATGAGTATGTATCCATGTTTCAAGTCAAAAGATTTCAGTTTTATACTTTATCACACAATCTGTTTTTTTAAACAGCTTAATGTTTCCTTTAAATGGGCCTACACAGTATTTTATTATCGCTGACATGCTATAAAAGATATACTGAAATAGTTAAACAGCCTCTATGACATATAGTCCAAGATCAACATTTATAATAACAATATTAATAATAATGACAATAATAAATTCATACATGAATAGCTTAGTAAGGTTTAAAATATGAGTACAGTCTGGAGTCTATATACTGCAAAGCCTCTGAAATGAACACACACACACACACACACACACACACACACACACACACACATTGATGGATACCGTCTTATCCCAGGGAGATAATTGGCTGTATTTTCCGGCCAGTGAGGCCCTCGTTTCAGAGAGGCTTCTCTCTCGCACGCGCGCAGAGGGAATAGAATCGTGCCTCGCGGGCCCGCTTCTGCGGTGGGGATCTACCGCCGGTGTGCTAATGACGGGAGAGCGCGAGAGACACAGAGCAAAGTAGAGAGAGGCAGAGGAGGAGAGCTAATGAGAAAAGAGGGGAAGAAAATGGGGAGTTTGAGAGAAAGAGGGAGCGAAAGAGAAGAGAGAGAGAGAGAGAGAGAGAGAGAGAGAGAGAGAGAGAGAGAGAGAGAGAGAGTCCCGCGGGCTCGGTGTGACCCGTGGAGTGGAACGCCGCGTGACGCAGGTGCAGAGTTCAGCACCCGCATGTCCGCGAGCGATTCCCGCTCAACAAAGACAGGAAGCTGGTGAGCATCAGTGGCTACAACAACGACAGGTTGGCTGGAACAATAAACAAATAAAACAAACAAAACAAAACAAAACAAGACAACAAAACACAAATAAAAACTTTGATGGTTTAGTGAATTACGTGTATCCGTTCACCACGAGGACAAGTGACACTGTCTTAATCTAAAACAAGTGAATTATATTTTAATGGTTCGTCTGTTTTTGATGAATCAATGCAATGACTGGAATATCAATAATTCCTTGAAGATTGGAATTCCTAAATACCAGAAGTATTGTAGCCTGGTATGTGTGGGCTACTGTAGGCTATATATACTGTACCATAATGCTGTCCTAGTTTTGAAGAATTAAAAATAAATAAATAATACTAATAAATAATAAGCTAATGTCTAAGCTATAACCAGTAGGTGGAAGAAAGCAATGATTCAATTAAACAAACTTTTGCAGCAAGACCGGTGCACTGATTCAGATAGTAAATATGAAGAGAAATTATGGGTTCAGGATTCATTTTTTACAACTCAAAACCGCAAGAACAATAAAAGCACAATAATTAATTGGTAATAGACATTTTTTTGCATTAAATGTAAAATTAAAATAGGTCTACATTTCTGGCAAAAAAAAAAAAAAAAAAAACACGTCATCGGTAGGTGTGAACATGTATTTCTCTTCTCAAAATAAGAATCCAAAGAAGTATCAGTGGTTGCTGCAAGAATTCTTACCATTGCTAATAAAGTAGATATTTTCATTCTCTGTATTGAGCCTCAGGCCCCTGAAAATGCTTCATTCAAGGCCTCAGGAACTACCTGTGTTCAAAACGAAGTCTGCAAGGTCATGCAAACATCATAAATGATGACCATCTTGTTTTGATGGATTTTTGTTTGTATAATATTGTACTTAGGTAAATTAGATTATACAGATTTCATTTTTCAAAATCATTCAAATACGTTTGTAAGTCTTAGAATACACTTCACAATTATTTCACTTAACTTAAGGTTTTTTTTTAATTATGTGGCATTCATTTTTTTATAGGTGACTTTAAATGCGTAGCATAGTACTGCTGCAGTCCGCTGCCAGACACAAACCGAGGAAGATGACAATTGTGTGCCAGCCAGCAGTCGACATGTATCACTGTTACTGCAGTATGACTTCATCCCTCTAATTATGTGTTTTTATGTGTGCTACATTTCACGTAAGTTACAGTCCTTCACATGCACAATTTACAATATCCTACAAAGATATAGTGCCAATGTCACCGCTGTTCATAATTACAGATGTCATGTTCTGAGTTAACTTGTACTTTATTGCTTCCAACTTGTGCGATATAGTTTAAAAAATGACCATAAATGTGTTACAAAACTTCACCAGTGGAATTTGGCATTGAGCTAATTTAGTGTTTTTTTCCCTCCTGAAGAATATACAGCAATATGACACCCGACAAACTATCAGTAGGTACTGATTCCAAAAATCAATGCAAGTTACAAGAAGTTTCATTACTCACTGAAAAACCACAGAAAACAAAAAAACTTGTGTCTTTAAAGCTGGTTTTACTGCTTTGGCATACATGTTCTTCTGCTCCCCCACAAAATCCTGCAAACTCTCATTTGAACATACAGCCTGAAAATATAAAACTCCAGGCTTAGTCAGTGGTGCTTTCAAACCCGATTATTCAATTCCCCTTCTTATATAGTTTAATAACAAGACACTCATTCACAGCCGTCTGTGAACTTCTGACATGGAGAAATCACGTCAAAACCCAACAACAAAATACTGGCATTGATGAAAGATGTATCACGATGCTGTGACGTTCATTACAGAGGAGTGCTCTGACTAAAAGGGTATAGAGGAACTTAAAGTCTGGGGCAGGATAAACAGAAAAGGTTAAGAAGGCCCCTGGAGGTCCTCTAAATGTAGTTTTAATACAACTTCTATAGACCCTAACAGTGAGCCATGATGGAACACCATATAAAAGTTGAGTTTTTATAGGTCCAATACGGCTGATCATGCTAAAACACATAACTTCCTGTGCACCAGGGAAGGATCCACCAGCCGCTGAGGGTTTAAAATGGCAAATAAGCATTAAGGAGCTGGATATAATATGAATTGCTGATAATGGGAAGCAAAATTTATTTTCATGAAAACGTCACATGTTGTTACTTTAATGAGAGGACCAGTGAAAAGGTAATCCAGTTATTAACATGGACTGATCTTATGAAGGCACTGGTATAATATTTGATATACAAAGTATGAGAGCAGCACTGACAGTCTCTTCTATATGCAGTTATGTCTGCAGTCAGTCTGTCTGTCGTTTTGCCAGGAAGTGAGAGAGCAGGCCCCCATCAGCAAAGCCCCTCAGCGTTCTGTCACGCAATGGGCTGTAAAAATGCTTATCCAACACACACACACACACACACACACACACACACACACACACACACACACACACACACACACACACACACACACACACACACACACACAGGTTATCCAGCATGCAGACAGCCGAGTGCCGGTTGGGAGTAATTCCTGCTCGGGGCACTGTGCTCCAGGCAAGCCAGGCGCGTGCTGGATATTTCATTATTCATTAATTTACTGTTTAACAAATCCTGTCATTACTGAGCCCGAGCCGAGTTCACACACACACACACACACACACACACACACACACACACACACACACACACACACACACACACACACACACAAAACACACACTCGCAGCAGTGGGTGTCAGGCGTGGCAAATCGGCCTGTTTGATCCCGGCCTTCTCAACAAACGGGGAGAGAGCCATGAATAATAAGAAACGCGAAGCCTCGCCGGAACGAGGGAGCGTGACACTGTCTCACAAAAAGCCCTTTAGCAGGGAGCAAAGCTCCGCCGGGGCCTCACCGAGGGCCCAGGGTTCATTATATGAAAAGACAAAACAAACAGTTGGCACAACCGTGATCGATATGAAAGGCAAAGCTCCCACACACACAAAAGGCAAAAGTGAATCAGTCATGTTTGACAAAAGACACTGTACTGTTTCCTTTCTGCTCATGGAGGAGTCAAGCATGGCTGCTGTTTACTATTTTCACTACTGAGTCCACTAATGGGATAAGGATTAAAGCTGTGAATGTGTGTTTGGCTCATCCATCCCTGTTTTTGGCTCAAATCCCTACAAAAACAAAGGGATATCTACTTGAGTTTCCCATGAAACAGTTGAATATATACAGAACGATGAACTCAGACACTAGAATAATGACTTTTACTTTCCCTTTTCAGTCTAGTTCACTTAATTAATTAACAGAGGAAGCCTCGAGGCTACAAATATTCATTATTTCACAGGAAGAAAAACATGTATCATAAATATTATAATGATATATTTGTGTTGTACAAATACATTTTATTCTAAGTCACTCTGTAACCAAACCCACTATGTTGAACTGCATGGTTTGAGGCTGAGAA